GGCTCAAACCAACTGTCTTTGACTCAAGAGCCCACTACTAGCTTTCTAACCGCTAGGACACTGTGCCTTTGCATTTCATCATCAATTCCTTTCCCTTCCATAAAGGGCATGGCCAAGTTAGTCACCCACTGATTTAATTAAATATCAGTTTAAAAAAGCATTCCACTAACCTGTACTCTTCAAAGCTACCAGAGTTTAATATGGCATACAATGAACAAATCTGCAAAACAATAAATTATTTTCATTGAGCATGTAGCCATTATCGACATAGCCAGGCTGCAGCTGGTAAACCTTGTCTGCTTACTAGGTCACCTTTCTAGGCAAGCTACAACTGACCTACCAAGCTCATCAACATGACTTAATGTCCTCGGCTTTTGCAGGATTTTAAATAGTTTAAATGGGAAAACTAACAGTCCAGAAGATTTCTAAAATGGACAGTGTAACTGGAAATTAAAATATTAGGATACATACATTTAAATTCAACACTCACTAAGATTTGAAGGCCAGCACTCCAAACATTTCGATGCACTGAACCACTGCCCCTTCCCCAGAATGTAACTGAGCAATTCTCAATACTATGTTAAAAAAACAATGCGTTTATACTAGAAAATCTATAAGTATATTAAAAGACGCTGATCTCATAAAGAAAACCGCTGTAATAATAAAACTACTCACAAAATTAGGCTGCAAAGGTGGTGTCATTTCCAAAATCAATTCTGAAAACTCCTTTATAGACACCTGACTGTGCAGGAATAACTTTTACGCAAGGTCCACGAATTTAAAATGGAGGCCCACAGACGGTCTCTCAGGTGAACCTGGCCAGAACTGACTACGCACCAAAGTAACTGCATGGCTTTCACAGTCACAGACGGCGACTTCCTTCAGGTGCTGGTTACCCATATGTAGAAACAAAATAGCAAAGGATGTACATGTATACACAAACACATTGAAGTTAAAATTGTAAATTATTGAAGATAGTACAGAACCAACACTGTGCAAAAATATTTGTCTTCAAATCCTCTGACAATTGCAAACGTTTTGAAACCTTGCTTCACTTTGCTTTCGAAAGCCAACATTATGCAAGCTTTGGCTTTGTGTCCAACTTACCGAAGGCATCTACTAGTTTGAACCATTTGTGGATTCTTGAAGAACAAGAATGGCCGGATTCAATTACACCATGATTAGGAAACAATAGAATGAATCTGTTATCCTTTAAAGAAATTGAAACAGGACAGTCATTAGATAGATTTGTCCTTGTTTTCTAAATACATGTAATACTGCGTACGTGTCATCAATGCAAAACTTTGCTAATAGAGATTACAAAACAGTGCGTTAATCCATCAGCTTTTGAAGTTTGACTGCTGTATTTCCATATACTAATTGTACATACAATTGTAATATATGCAAGCAGTGGTTGATAAATACCTTCCATTGCTCCAAAACGTGGAATTGATTTCTTTCCGCGTGCAGATCGTGGGCACATTTTAATATAGGTAATCGCATGGGGCCGAGTAAAATAAGGATTAACATCACTTGTGTTACACAAGTGATATCAATCCTTATTTGTGTTACACAAGTGATATCAATCCTGAATTTTACGAGGAACCGTGCGATTACTTGTTTATAATAAAAGGGGCAAAATGTGTACTTACTGATCTCGCGCAAAACGGGACGCCATTGTTGCAAAACTAAAAGTAATTTCTTTACTTTGTCAGCCGTTGCTAATCGATTTTCAGCCAATCATTTTCAAGTAATTTTTCCCGGGTCAATTACAAAAATTAAGAAAAAATACCCTCTGTCTTGACCAATCACAATTCAGTAATTTTGCCCTTGATATGATAAAACAAAAAAATTGCCTCAGGCCACAGTACCGACATCGCACAGTCGCCTCTCTTTTTTTACATACGGCACAAATTTATTTCTCTGGGAGAGTTTCTTCCCCCACTGCCGTTCTGAAAAGCTTATCCCGTATTTTCTCCCAGTTGGCTACGGAGCTGTAATTTCTTCGATGAGCTTCAGAATATTGAGCCTCATCAGGTGAAAATACGGGAATGTCGGGGTCATCGACAGCTTCAAGAAGAGAGGAGTTTCCTTGGATCGGCTGAGAACCGGTTGTGTTTGAGCTGACCCTCAACGGAGTATGAATAACAGTCTTCCCAGTTCTTCCGAGGACAATCGTTTTCACAGAAACAGGTTTGACCTTCTTCATAACTCACGAAATTAAACAACGGGGTGAACTTTAAAATGACCGTCAAAGCAAATGGCGATACTGTGCAGCGGTTTATCACATCAGACGGCCCAGACGATCATTTTACTTGGGTACTACCCACATTCTCAATTGAGAAATACCGGGTGTTACCCTATGAGAAAATGTGACACGGGTGTTTCTGACTATAAGCATTACCCGCTATTTTTTAATCCTCAATTAAGCCCAGCAAAACATCACGGAATATTTTTGCTAATACTTATTTGACAATATTATAGACAGATGTCACACATTCAATATCTGAAGAAATGGAATCAAGGCCAGAATCCGCTATCCCTTCCCAAAGTACAGTTGTGAATAGGGTTAATTAAACTTGTTTTTACAACTTTTACAAAACCAGTTTCTTGCTTTAGGTTTGGTACTCACAGAGGAATATAAAAAGGGATACCACAACAAACAGCGATCACAAGCAATTGACTCCTGGTTGTCCTTTATCGCCTTGCTACACGCCCTGCAGTGCCAAGGGGTTTCCTCTTTCTTCTCCAGTATCTCTAGAAGCTGGAACCACGCGTCTTCGCTAAAGAACTTTTCAACTCGGAAAATTTCAATGTTATCCCTGTCACGTACAGTGTCCGGTATTAAGTGAATGTTCGTCTGAATGTCGTCATTGTCCAAAACTCTCTTGCCATTCAATGCTTAAGCAACCTCTATCCTTTTCTTAGTGATACATTCCAGTATCATCCGTTCGTTGCCATATGATTTTAGTTTTTTGTAAGTAACAATATTAGTCCGTCCACTTTCCTCTTCTCAGTTTTAGGGATGCCAACGACTGTCAGTTCTGCTCCTTTTGGGCGTCCAAGTTTCATCATTTTTGGTGGCATTTGAATGTCATGAAATCCAGATGTTGGCGTACTTTCCGAGGCTTCCTTTGTTTTCCCATTTCTTCCATTCAAATTTTGGCATGTTTGTCCGATGGCGTCGTCACTTTCTTTATTGCATTCTCCAGCTTTGGTTTTGTGTCATGTCTTTCTCAGTTCCTTGTTGTCTTCATCCACTTCTCGTTCCTCTTCAATTCCTTTTACTCCGTGTACCTGGCTTTCTTTATCGTTCTTGCCTCTTTTCTTTCATTCCTTTAGTATTTTTGCACACTTTGTTGCTTCATTTTTCCATTTTGTTATTGTTTTGGCTGTTATCTGTGTTCCACTTTTCTTGTCTTCCCCCACTGATCTGTCTTCAGTTTTTCTCCAACTCCTCCACTCTCGTTCTTCATCTTCTTTCCCGCACTCTTTCCGTGGGTTTGACCTTCTTTGTCACTCACTGACTATCCCCTGTGCCCGTTTCTTGCTTTCCGATTCTTCATGTGTCTCCCCTTTTTTTTAATTGTACTTTGGTTTCAGTTTTTTCCTTCTTTTCCACACTTTGTCCATTTGTTTCTCCTACTTTTACTCCTACTACGGAGTATTTACAATTTCGTATCCGGAAGCTCGTGGAAAACATTGCCATTTGCAGCAGAAAACACAGGTATTTCGGTGGTAATCGTACTCTTTAGCCATGTAAACAAGAACAGCATCACCAAGGTTGTTATAGGTCGAATATACTAAGTAGAACGACTTAATATTCGGCAAAGATTTCACTGCCGGACACGGAGTATTTACGATTTCGTGTCCGGAAGCTCGTGGAAAACACTACAATTCACGGAAGTTTCAAAACACTGATATTTCGATGGTAATCGTACTCTTTAGCCATGTAAACAATAATAACATCGCCTAGGATGGTAGAGCTCGAATATATTGAGTGGAATTACTTAATATTCGGGAAAATATTCGACTGCCGGACACGGAGTATTTTCAATTTCCTGTCCGGAAGCCCGCGGCGAGCTTCAACTGAAAGTTATGAATACCGGCATACCGTTTGCCGAGCTCACAAAACCTCACACTATGGTGGAAATAGTGAAGTTTTCAGCCCTGTAGAGAAGGATTTGTTATTATTAACTGAAGATTTAAAAAAATTGACTGCCGGACACCGAGTATTTTGAAAAAAACTGTCCGGCTGCCGGACATATAGACACAGCGTTCCTTCAAAGTCTGAAAAATCCATAACAATCTTCCTTTACTTCCCTGTAGCCGTGAAGAACTAATATCTAAAGAGATAAAAAAAAAATATTTTCAAATTGTCAGGCAAGCTATTAAATTGCGTTCTAGAACGCACAGTGACAAAGTTGTTCCTTTCTCTAAAGCTTTCTGCCATCTTTGATTTCCGCTGTCCATATCGCCTTTTGACCACTGGCTCAGTTATGACTTAGCAAAAATGGCGGACGAACCAAAAAAAACTGCGAACGTACCAGAAAACATAAAATTGTTCATGTTTGATCTGGCAGGTACAACTGTAGATGACTCGATTGAGGTTGTACTACTTGTGGCTATCGCTATGAAAGAAGCTTTTCACAAAAATGGCCACAGTATTGACGTGAGTTTAGTTAATAAATACTGTGGAATGGAGAAGAGAGACGCACAGTATCTTAAAGGAGGTACACGAGTGAAACGAGTCAACCAACACGACATCTAACGTCAGTGTCGACCTCTTATTCAAGGATTTCAAATTTATTCTGAATCAGAATTTATCATCGATTAAAAACGAAATCCCAGGAACAACTGAAGTTTTTCAGAAGTTGAAATCCACAGGAGCGAAGATTGCTGTTGGGAGCGGCTTCCCGCACAGTGTCGTTGAAGCCATCACAGATACCTTGAACTGGTCCAGCCTGGTCGATTTTGTCTGTAGCGCAGAGAAATTGGGTCATGGAAGGCCTCATCCAGCAATGATCCACTCGGCTATAAAATTTTTTGGGATAATGGATCTACGATCAGTGGCCAAAGTTGGAGACACTAAGGTCGACGTTGAAGAAGGGAAGAACGCTGGTTGTTGGACGATCGCAGTGTTAACTGGGACACAGAGCAGGGAGTTTATTGCAAGGAGTAAACCGGATTTTATCATCAATTGCATTGCTGATTTACCTGATCTATTGTCAGGGACATTCCATTTATGATCTCGAACAACTTTGTCAGTGAGCAATTTGAAACACCGTGTATTTGAAATTCGGACTAAAAACGAAACGATGCCTCTCGTATT